TATATATATATATATATCATAAAATGGTTGTAGAAGCAAAGGATAACAAAACAATATCTTAAGTCATATGCGTCAAGGACCTTCCAAACTTGTTGGAAGTGTTTGGCTAACAAACCAAACTTTGATTTTCTTCTATTGACCTAGTTCTAAGTCTTAGCATTCACATAATTTGATGCTGCTGCACTGTTAAAAAATAATGCAATGAAAAGCTCTAATTAATTGTATTCCCATAGGTACATATAACTTGTCATTCTTAAACAAAGGGAAAAAGTTACATTTGTACTAGCAAGTTAACATGGAAAAAGAATTTCCAACAGGTCAGACTATGACACCCATGACCTCTAACATAGTTTGGTCAGAATGACATGCATACCCATTATCCTTTCTTCCTGTGATCTCACAAATCCATGAATGTTTTCCCCAATGAAACTAATGAATGTTCTTGAGCAATTTCTGGTATCGAAGTAACATATCTCCTAATTGTATATTGAACATTCAACAAGCTACCAACTCTGATTCAGACACCTAAACTTGGTCAAATGGTAACCACAATACTGTGAGAGTTCTAAGCAAAAATTATAGTTGAATTCCTTGAGCAACAAAGTTTGAATAGATAAAGTATGCATACCTTTAATTAACATTCAACACAAAATTAAAAAAAAAAAAGACATGGCAATTCTAGATCGGACGCAAGAAAGGAAAGTTTAAAGATACCTGTAACGACTCATATCCTCCAGCAGCGGACTGATCCCCACATATTCCACACACCAGTCCCCTCTTTGGCAACCAATCTCCAAATACATCTGAGTACGACGTCAATGGGGGCAACTTGAATCCATTCTCTCCACCCACAGACGACGCCATTCCCACCAGCTTCCTCTGCGGTATGCATGCTGGCACCACCTGCACATCCGCCGGCGGCCCTTCCTCCACCACAACCTTCGGCCCAGCATCCTCCACTGATATCTTCGGCACCTTCACCCCAAAATTGATCAATCCCCACTTCTCCAGGAACAAGAACACCTTGTGGAGATACCCCACATCGCCGATCATAGACTTTCGGATCTCGGTGAAGGTAATGCACTTGGTGGGGTCCTCCCGGTACTTGCTGATGATGAAATCGCGGTACTCCTTGTAGACTCTAGGGTTCCGTGAGGTAGAGGAGCCGTCGAAGAACTCCGGCAGACACCGCCGCTCCGTGTCGTCGATGTCATCCCACCGGAACCAACCTGATCAAAGACCAAAGAAAGAGCGATGAAAGGTCGAGAGACAAAACCCTAACCCTAGCCCCCAAAGAAAAAAGGAACGCCGATCGACGAAGGAGAGGGGAATGGTTACGGTACTCGCAGAGGAGGGGATGGAGTAGAGCTCGCGGTCGGCGAGGTCGCTGCCTTCGGAGCTCGGCGGCATTCCTTATGGTTCGCGCGCGGGAAGGGAAGGGGAGGCCGAGGCAGACGGCGATGGGGATAGATAAGGCGGATCGGACGGTCGAGGACCGATTCGAACGAGGGAGAGAGACAACGAAAAAGAGGCGATGGGGAAGGCGGCTCGGAATGAAATCGTCTCGTCTCGAAGGGGTTTTTATTTTGTGGGAATTCACTGGAAAATGACTCATATGACGGTTTGGACCGCCGCCCCATTCTCTTCTCTCGGTAATATCGTCCGACAAAACCGCCCTCGCTTGTCGGGTTTATTTTGAGGACTAATTACAATTTTATTTTTTTTATAATTATTTTTTTATATTTTGATTTTTTTTATATTTTTTAAAAATTATATTAAATTTTTATATTTATAAAAATAAAATATTTAATCTCGTTTCTTATCTCGTCATTGATTCTGCTGACTTCGTTAGCAGAACTGACAACACGAGTAGAAACGAGGTTAAATATTTTACTTTCATAATTATAAATTTTTTAATTTAATTTTTAAGAATATATAGATAAAATAATAATAATTATATAGGATAATATATAATTAATCCTTATTTTGATCCTTCCTTCCATTAAACCAAACCATGTATTTGACGTATCAAACTTAATCCTAGATTAGATCGATTCAAATTAATTAATTAAATTATATAAACCTAATTATAAAAAAAAATATATACTTGATTATAATATAAAAATATAAAAAATAAGATGGTTGATCTATCATATTCATTATTTGTATCATGAATTATAGGATCATTGGTTTTAGATTGATTATTATATCATCTTTATTATATATTGGATAGTAGTAAATGATTTCTTATTTAACTCTTCCTAATTTCGATGCTTCAGTTGAGGCTGAATCTTGAGATATCATATATGTATGTGTTAACTGCATCTTTACCCGTTTTGCTCGATGTCATGATAATTAGAGATGTCCACAAATTGCTGGGTGTTTGCTATTCATGTACTGTAGCTACAAATCTCTTCGAGATGCTATTGTCTTGATGATACAATTGACTCGAAGAAATATTCGACTTAGAGATAAAGTTATCTCGACAGCATGCTTACTTTTATGGTGTGACAAGCTTGAATATATGATCAACTTGGTTGATGTGAAGATACATACAGTCAATTTGGAGACATGATTAATTTGATGATGTATGATTCACATGATGATACGATGATCATGAAAAGCACATAAAAGCACATTCAGGCTATAAACATAGGCTTTTATGCCTATTAGTACCGTTACAAATAATTCAGGCTATAAAACAAAGTGATGCTACCTTTATTAAATAAAAGACTTGATGAGGATAGTAATTATGATAAGACTCGGCTGACGTCAAATGACCCCTCATGCAACAGCACCTGGTCAATGCAGATTGGAACGCCGACCGAGACGTATTAACATCCTGCCAAAGCTCAATTCTTCACGCCACGTCAACACAAAGTCAGACGCTACCAGCCTACCCCCTGCAAGCGGGTAGCTCGGGAAGCAGTAAGCTTCCCTATAAATACCCTCTCGTTCATCAGAGAGAGGGGAGGAGAAACAGACACACAAAAACACTTTTTCATCTGAAACCCCCTCCACATCTGCTAACTTGATCGTCGAAGGGGTCGGGCCGAGCGTCTCGGCCCGACCTTTGTGCAGGTGCGAAGCCGAAGGACCCCTCCGGACACGCAGGCGAGGAGTTCCTGCCCGGAGGAGACGACTACACCGTCCCGATCGGACACCGCACCCGACCGCCTCAGCGAGCTCGAGGAATGCCCCAGGGAGGTCCCCGTCGTCCGATCCCGAACCGAGCCGCATCGACCCCGAGGCCACGGCTCAAAGTTGTTTCCCACAACAAGACTTATATATATAATTATAATTATAATATGGCAAAAGCAGGGAAAAGGGATAAGATTAGAAACTTATAGATATGAATGTTTGTCCAAGAGTTTATCCATGGCTTTTTCTTCCTCAACTCAATTATTTTAGTCCAAGTATGCCACGGCTCTTATCCAACACATTGCGGCGGCACTCGAGCTCAAAGTAGTATAATTGACAGCAGCCGCAACACACCAACTCCATTATTCCATGCAACTTCGAGGAGGTAGTCGTCACACCAAAGTCCTTTTCCTGCATAATGCAACTGTGTTCTTCTCATTATCTTCTTCAACCAGTCGTGTAATCATAAGACCAGTTCAATTTATTTGATTAAATCAGAAAGTGTGTCTGCCGTAAAGAAAATTCAAGTTTTTCTACTTCAATTTCTACTACAAATTGATCCAAAAAGCATCGGACGTCGACGTCCGAACTGTGTTGTGGGTGGATGACGATCGATGATCGTTCCACTTTATTTCCTCTGTCCTTTCTTCGATCGAGATCTACTCATCCGCCGATCGATACAGCTAGAGATGAGCACTAATGGCGATTCCATCATCCAGCGAAGCAACATCGGATCTTTACAGGGATGGAGATCCGTCCTAAAACACACTAGGAATCGATTCACCGAGAGCAGAACTCGATATGATTCACTGAGAACAAGCCAAGCTTTTGAAGGCACCTATTGAAAGAAAGCCAGGCGTTCTCCAACCTCCTCCTTTTTCTCTCCGTACCCATCTTTTTGGGTCGAGATTACTCGTTGGTTAATGGCAAGTGATCTCAAGTCAAAAGCCCACCTATTTGAGTGCTTTGGTACCGCCGATTGTTATGACCAGAAGAGGCCATATATACATACACCCACTCGATGGTTTGTCACCACCCGTCATGACATGGCTGCCATCCTCGTCCAGCTACTGGTGTCAGCCCTTCTTCTTCTCCTTCTCGTGACCAATGGAGCGTCCTCGGCGAGGCCACACCCTCCCCCGGCTTCCGCCGGCGAAGCTCCGAAGGCTCCAAGGATCAGCTCAACATTAGCGGAGGAGGAGTCGGAGGCGGGTGCCAGCAGGAAGCGCGTGCCGCCTTCTGGGCCGAGCAACAAGGGACACGGCTCGCCGGAATCCTCCACGCGCCATCTGCTGCACCTGCACGCCGACCACGGTTGTGCCGGAAGACAGCGGTAGAAATGCCCGAGACGGAAACCATCCGCCAACACTTTCCGATTAATCTCCTCTAATTCTAAACATTTTCTGCTGATCAGTTTTTTGACGGAATGTTTTGCAGTTCCATTTACGCGTCTGGTTATGCACAGCCAATGCAAATCTCATCGTTGCTTTCGCCCCTTCTCTTCGTCCGTGCGGAAAGTGTCGTCTCCAAAGTTGATCGATCGCTCACGGAGATGACAGGAACGACTCGATCCGATCGAAACCTGATATGGATTTGGTCAACGGTCAACTCGACGCGCCGAAAATGTTCGTCTACTGTCTGGGTGGAACTCCTCGGAGACCTACAAAAAAAGATCGGTGTCGTATTTTAAGATTGTCATTCTAATACAAGTTGGTGGAGATCCGAGGTAAAGAGTTGGGGGAGAGAGAGAGCGAAATGCTTTTGCATAGGGGATTAGCCCTCTAATCGATCTCTCATTAAAACAAATTAGCCGTAATTTTTTTTTATCGTGATTTAAATAAATACTATTGAAATAGTTTTTATGTGTGTTATATTAACTTTAATTTTTTATTATAATTCTTAAAAATTATATTTATAAATATCTTATAAATTATGATTATTAAAAATCATAATAAAAAATAGACGTATAATATTTTGCTCACGCTTCATTTTGGCTTCTAACCGGCGCTTCACGGCTCTTTATTTTCTTTCTCTCGACTTCTGTTTTAGGGTTAGAAACCGTCGGCGGAAGCTTTCCTCTCCGCTGCCGTCGGCGGATTCCCGCCCCCCTCCCCCCTGCTTCCACGGGCGAAAGCTTCCTCTCCGCTGCCGTTGGTGGATTCCTGGCCCCTCCCCCCCCCGCCCCTCTGCTTCCTCTGCTTCCACGGGCGAAAACTTCCTCTCCGCTGCCGTTGGTGGATTCCTGGCCCCTCCCCTCCCCCCCTGCTTCAACTGCTTCCGCCGGCGGAAGCTTCCTCTCCGCTTCCGTCGGCGGATTCCCGCCTCCCTCTCCCTGCTTCTTCCGTCGGTGAAAGTTTCCTCTCCGCTGCCCTCAGCGGATTCCCGTCCTCTCCCCCCGTTGCCGTCAATAGATTCCTGCCCCCTCCGCCCTATTTACTCTGCTTCCATCGGCGGAAGCTTCCTCACCGCTGCCGTGTGGTGTCTTTTGTTGTTTCTCTCGCCTTGCGTCTCCTTCCTTCTTCCAGTAGAAGAAGGATCAAGAACTTTTAATGTCCTATTCCGCCATTGTTAGGGAGACCGAGAAATCTCAGCTCGAACAATGAGGGTCGATCAGGATTTCTCTCTTCATTCATTATATAAACTTGTCTGGCCAATAGGAGTGATTAGGGATTGACTTTTCATCTTTGCTTTGGAGTTTTGTATCAAATTTGCTTTATAACAAGTGATCTGAAGTCATACTTTCGCTCATTAAATCAATACAACTTGCTTCATACAATCATCACTATATTTACAACCAAATCAATCGTCCTCGCAGTCGAATATTAGAACACGTATGAATAGCGCAAGGAAACCTTTAACCTACAAAATCCGAGAAGCCGCTTTGGACCTCTCTCTCTCTCTCTCTCTCTGCTGAAGCGATGGGTACTCAACATCACCACCCCTCTCTCCGCCTACCTCTGCTGGAAGTTGAGCTTCTTGATGCAGTAAGCAAACATGAAAGCAAAGAAGAGAGCAAAGCCGACCAGCACGATGGCCACCACAGGCATGAAGTCAGTGTGGTATCCAAAATGGTCCTTCACGTAGTCCTTGGTCCTTATTGGGGTTTCCGAGCCAGGCACAGTGATGTAGCTCTCTAAATCCCCATACTGTGTTACTATGAGACCGTACACCGTCCATTGCAACGGGCAAATCCAGTAGTACCACACCCACCATTTGGGAATCCTCTGCAATCCATCACAGAACCTTGGGTTACTGATAGGAACTCCACACGACAAAAGTAAATGGCAAGATCGAGCAGGAGAAACTTACCGGTCTGGGGATGAAGAAGCCTGAGAAGAGGTTAAAGACGGAGTAGAAGGTGGAGGCAAAGATCGCAGCAACTTGATGGTTCGGTGACAGTGACACGGTCATCATGCCATAGTAAGTGAAGTAAAGGAAGGAGAAGAGGGAGATGAAGTAGAACCAAAAGAATTTTGCCGCTGTCCACTGGAAGCTCATCATGGAGTAGACGATGAGCGAGTAGTACGCTGCCTGAATCACCACGTACGGGATTTCCACGAGCACCTGCAGCGATTCAACGCCATTGGATCCAAGCATTCGATGATAATAACACCGTCGCATTAACGCTTGAATCAGCAACGCTCCCCCTTACCTGAGCCATGGCATACGGTAAAGCGGAGTACATTCCAGCAGCCCTTTCTCGGTAGAACACCGTCCTCTCGATCGCTACCAGTGGTTGCACCGTCGAGCAGTTGTTGACGCCGACGAACAAGACCGCCGCATACATCGCCCCGATGACGATCCTAAGATTGTTTGCACTTCCACTGCAGCACAGAGGAAAACCACCGGTGAATCTCTGCGCATCCCAAGAGATGAGAGAACAGCATGTCCTGCGTCTACGTACCTCTTATGGCCAATTCTCCAAAATATGGAGCCTAGCAACAGAGCAGTGACCAAGGTGAAGAAAAATCTGACCAGGTTGTAATCAGGGCTCCTCCAGTAGGTCCACCATTGCTTCCAGAGGCAGGCCTTGAACTGCCCCCAAGAAGACTCGGAGAACTGCGTGGGGAAGTAGAGATCATTCGTTCCTGATGCCGGATTACTGAGCTCACCAACCAATGCTTTGTTGCGCCTGGTGGCCATAGTTTCGTTGCAAGCAAAACAAAGCTTATCAGTAATCAGTTCGTATCTGCATGGCCACTGATCTCTCAGTTTCACTACTTACTGGTAGAGAGCTGATGATTTGTAGTACTCGGCGAAGTCCATCTGTAGACGTACTTCAGCTGCAACCGAACTGACTTCCAGCATCCATGTCGCAGGATTGTACTTGTCCTTGATCTTTGGAACTCCAGGAATCGCCTGAAACATGGAAAGCAAGAGCTGTCGTTTCTCGTTCTCACCATGCCGTAATCAACAATGCAGCTAATGATGACTTCAAATTTACCTCGAAGTATTCGATTATCTTGTGAGAGTTTCTTCCCAATGGTCCAGAGTAGATCACTTGGCCGCCTCTTTTCATGAGCAGCAGCTGTTGCATGATCAGAAACATAAGCATTAAGCAAGCATGAATGCATTATTGTATGATCTCACGGAGAAGCGTTTCGAGATGGACAGACCTCATCGAAGGCCTCGAATATGTCGATGCTTGGCTGGTGGATCGTACAAACAACAGTTCTTCCGGTGTCGACTGTGTTCCTCACGGTTCTCATGACGATGGCGGCTGCTCTTGCATCGAGGCCCGAGGTTGGTTCGTCCATGAAGATGATCGAGGGATTAGCAACGAGTTCCACGGCAATCGTCAGTCTCTTCCTTTGTTCCGTGGACAGCCCTGTGATGCCCGGCAGTCCCACTATGGCGTCTCTCAGGTTGTCGAGCTCCACCAGCTCCATCACCTCATCAACAAATTTCTGAGATCACAGGGATTACCTTTAGTACATCACATATATCACTTCCCCTGCACGAATGCCAAGACCGATTGGACTCACCAGCTTTTCTCCGTCGCTGACTTCCTTGGGGAGACGGAGGAAAGCAGAGTATATCAAGGACTCCCGGACGGTGACCTGAGGTGAGTGGATATCGTTCTGCTCACAATACCCGGAAATCCTTGCGAAAGTCTCTTGGTTCTTGGGATAGCCGGAGATGCGGATATCTCCCTCGACGTAGCCACCGGTCTTTCTGCCAGCCAAAACATCCATGAGGGTGGTTTTCCCAGCCCCGCTCACGCCCATAAGGGCTGTGAGGACGCCCGGCCGGAACGCCCCTGTTACGTTCCTTAGGAGCTGCAGCCTATCTTCTGTGACTCCTTGATCTTTCATTTCCTGGTGAGCAAATCGGTGCATCCATCGTTACTGATTCATGCTACTTGATTCAAAGCTCGAAAAATGACTGAGAGAGCTCACCGCAGGCATGTCCACATAGTAACTGACTTCATCAAAGGACATGGCCAGAGGCGTGAACGGAAGAACCATTCCTCTTTTGGGAGCAACGCCGGTGGTGGCCTCATCGATGGACATGTCACGGTTGAGCCTGTTCGTCCCGCTGGGGCTCATCCGCAGCACCATCATTTCTCCTGCGAGAATGAGCTCAAGTTAGAACACAGCAACAAAGGCGTGCGTTGGTGTTCTGATTCCGCCACTTACTGGCATTGTTTCCGTCCCTCTTCGACAGTTCCCGAGGTAAAGAATCGTTCTCGGAGCCCGCTCTCCTGATTCTCGGCGACTCTCTTGTCTCGTCTCGGTTTTCCTCCATCTCTGCTGCTGCTTCTTCAGATATAACAGCTTGCGGTTTTCCGATAGCTGCGTCGAAGAACAATCTGAGCTCAACCGAGAAGAACCGGAAGGTGAAATGTACGGGGAGAGACAGGTTGAGGCCTTACGATTCAGATACATGAGGAAGAAGGTGAAAAGCAAATTGAAGAGGATGCTGAATCCCAGAAGCGCACCGGCACCAATCCAATACCATCTAGCCTCCGGGAAGACATTAGCGTTTTCGAGGATTGCCCTTCCTAATGGTCGATCATCTGATGACTGTCACCGAACGCACAAATCTCTCCATCAAAACAGTATAAGACTTATAGGAGCTGCACGAGTGATAGGTTATCGTTTGTCGCGTCGAATTATCCGCGTTAGATGAGCTCGTATGGTTTTATGTTTGTGCCGACGACGACAAAGGATGGCTTATCAAAAAGACATCACGTTTCATGGGTACCGAGGAACTTACCGGTTTGTTCATCCACCTCGGAGCCAAAAACTCGTTCACCGCTAAAGCATTGTATCCGTAGGTAAGTGGCGAAATCCAGAAGCCCCATATCCACCATTTCGGAATCACATCTGTCGGCGAAGAAAGAGAAGGTTCGGTGAGCAGTGAAGATCTTGTCAGTAAGATGGACTTGCACTGTTTTGTGTCCTGAATGAGTACCTTTGGGTAGAATGAAGCCTCCAAGAACAAAGATGATGAGCACGGACAGAGCCCCACCGGTGTTGGAGATGATCATGGACCTACAAAGACCCGCGACAGTTCTGAACAGCCCTGCCGCCATCTGCTGGATCAGGAACACCAGCACCAGCTGCTTGAAGAACCTGTGACGCAGAGAACAGTGAACGCCACGGCTCAGAAAAGCAGATCAGCAAGTCTTTCGGAGCTGAGCTCGAAGTTTACCTGCTGGCCTCCGGAGCATAGCCTATGGTGTAGTAGGTCATGACAGTCCAAACCACGGTTTCCAGGATCGATATGGGAATCCGGAGGAGAAAGTTGGGCAAGGTGAATATCCATGCCGGATAGAAGAGCAGGTCCCTGTGCTTGTAGAACACCGGGAGTCGCGAGATGGCGATGGACAGCTCCGCGAAACCATTGAAG